CTCCTCCCCGAGGAGGCTGGGCCCATCGGCGGGGCTGAGCTCACTGGGGCGCCCCGGGTGGCCTGGTACTGCTGGTACCACAAACGGCTTCTGGCTTCTTGTGGGTGTAATAGTGAGCTGCCCGTCCCCGGAGGCGCGCAAGCGGAGTCTGCGCAGGGATTGCTTGGGCTGGTGAGGCGGGACTCTGCGCTGGCCCCACGCCCCCTCCCAACGTGGGGACCTGCTCTTCGCGCCCCAGCCGCCGATGCTGGGATGTGTGTTGGGAGAGGTATCGGAGGGAGTGGTTACAGGGCCTGCTATTCATGGCAGGGACAAAGCCAAGCAGGTCCCAGGCGGTGTCAGCCTCCAGGTGTGTGGCCACACCGAGCACACCTCCAGGTGTACAGTGGGGTGGAGGATAAAGGAAGAGCGAGGGAGGCGGAAATGGGGTGTGAGTGTGGAGGAGATGCCACCCCCTAGGCACCTGTGGGAGACAAGTTTGGGCGACAGTGAGTCTGAGTGACAGTGTGTGTGATCATCAGAAAGAAAGGGGTGGGTGAGACCCTCAGAGGGCAAAAGAGAGGGGAGAGAAAGAAAAAGGAGAGAATGTGCTCGAGAGAGCACAGCAGAGTGAGGAGAGGAGGGGCTGTCACTGCTGGACTTTAGGTACCAGTCCCAGGGACAGCTCAGCATGGCGTGAGGCCAGAGCCTGGACTACTGCAGGCCTGAGCACTCCCGGGGGTACGGCCCACTCCGCCCCACAGCTGAAGTGTCCAGCCAGCTCTGGGTGACAGTGGGGCCAGAAGGTGTGACAACTTGCTCAGCCGTGCCCTCTCTCGAGGGCCAACTGGCTACCATTAGCTATGAGGAGGGACTGGCTGGAAAGGTGGGAGAGAATGCATGCGGAGGCCCTGTCTGTTCCCCGGCCCCTCTCAGTGCCCTAGAACTTACACCAAAGTCAGGACTCACACTGGGCAGCAGTCCAACCTATCTATGGTTTGGGGAATTGGCGAGATCTGGGTTTGAGCCATGTGATACTAGGGAAGCAGTAAGAGGTCTTCCCCCTCAGAACCTCATCTGTTCCACCTATGAGGGGTTGGGACAGGAGGGGCTGATGGTACCTGCTGCTTAGCCTTGAGGATTACCTGAAACAATGCCAGGTATGCTGGAGACACTGTCACCTGTGGCTGCAACTCTGATGCTTGTGCAGGGTTGGGGCTGGGATTAGAGGCCGGCAGGGTGGGGGTTCTGAGCCAGGCTATTGTCTGTCACTGTGCAGAAGCTAAGGGAACATTTGGGGTTGCCTCCTGCGTGTTTATCCCTAGGCTGTCGTCAGCAGGGCCAGAAGAGCTCTGTAAATATTTATCCATCCCAGTTTCCAGCTTTCAGAGTTGATGAAAGCTCCACGACCCAGGGGGACAAAGCTGTTTTCCTTCCCGGAGCCAGCAGAGGGATCGGGTGGAAAGGGGCTGTTAGAATGGTGGTGAAGATGAATCTGTCTACCAGCGAGGGCGTACCTGACATCTCTGAGCCTCAGATGGGCGTGATGCTCCACAGCACAGCGTGGTGCTGGTGCTCCGCTGTCTTCCCACAGCCGAACAAGGTCCCTCCTCTCAACGTCAGCAAGAGGCGTGGCTGTGGTTAATAATCCCCATTGGCCTGAGAGCAAACTGAGGCCCAGAGAGGGATACGACCAGCCCGGTCTTACCCACTGGTTTCCTAGCCCGGGGTCTTCCCTAATCTCTCCTCCCACTTTCTGGATTAGAAGTTGGCTCAGAGGCTGACCTTGAGTCTCTGAGCTCAACTAGGAGACTGGGTCAGCCAAGAAATTCCTTGAGTGTGTCTGAGACTGTGGGGTTGGTGGCTGCCAGACGGGGGAAGGGGGGACAATGAGGGCATCTAGGGTGGGGCAGCCCAAGGGAGGCTACTGGCTGAGGAAGAGGGAATGCACTAAAAGCAAAAATACTTCTCAGGAATGTGGGCTTGGGAAATAAGCCAAGAGCTGGGGCGGGGGTGAGGGAAAGCCCTGGAGGGCAGAGGCATGAACCCCAGGTCTGAGCTCAGCTTTTGCCTGACTTGCTTTCTGACCCTGGATAAAGTTCTCAGCCTCTCTGGACTCTTTTTCATGCTCTGGGAAATAGGGTGATGGTTGCTGCCCTCGCTCCTTGGGGCTATCGAAGAGACCCCTATGCCCACCAGTCCACCTCACTGAATCTCAGTCGTCCCGAGAGGTCCTAGAATTTGGGAGAGTGCATTCCAAAGTCTGGAAGGGGAGGACCTACAGGGCCAGGGAGTAGGCCAGGAAAGAGTGCTGCTCTGTGTCAGATGCCACAGTGAGCATTACAGAAGGATGTCACTTAGATTTTTGTCATGGCACCATCCCCATTTGGCAGATGGGGAGGTTGAGGCTGAAAGAAGACAATGACTTGTCCAGAGTCATCGTGGTAGAACGAGGCTTTGAGAACCTCAGAGCTTGGCTCTTTGCCCTGCAGTGAGAGTGCCACCCAGGATCCAGGATTCTGGCTGAGGTCTTGGAATCTCATGGAAGAAGGAGAGGAAGGCACAGTGAGGTGTGTATCCCTGGTCTTCCCTCCCTTCATGGCTGGCTGTACCAGGCTTCACTAGGAAGCAGAGGACAAAAGAGATTTCTGGCATAAATGGAACTGGCAGGCTGGGCTCTGGGCTTTTAGGGGGACACAGGGGACCGGACCCCTTGTAGGGTTGGGGGAAAGAGTCTGTTTATCCTGTAGGCTGGAGCGGGGGGGCTCACATTCAGTCACACAGACTGGTGTCCATACCCTCGATGTGAGACCTCAGATAAGCATCGTTCCCCACCTTATGGCATAGGGGTGTGCTCACTGAGTGCTTGGGAAGTAACAGTTGCTTAGTAATTTCCCGTTCTTTGTCATCTGCCATCAAGATGAGGTCAGCCTGGGTCCCTCCTCCAGGGAATAGGTAAATCTGCAAGAACAAAGCAGACAGCAGGGAGGGGGTAGCTTGGGAGCTCACAGGGTCTGCGCCCTGCCCAATGTTATGGGAGCAACTTGCTCTACTTCTTATCGGAGAAATGAGCACAAGGATGATGGAGTCTGTGAGAGGTTCTATCCTGGGGACTAAGAGCATGTGGGCGCAGCTGTGGGCAGGGTCCTACCCCTCCACGGTGACAGTGGGTAGTATTATTATTATTATTATTATTATTATTATTATTATTATTAATTAACAGGTAGCCCAGAATCAACTGGAACCACAGTCTAGGGAGGCTGTGCAGGAAATCATGCATTAAGCAGTCCCTGGAGTCAGGAAGAAACTGGTCTAAGGCCTCACAAGTAACTCCAGGTACCCCTGATGGTCTAAAGTCCCCTTCATTATGGAGCATTCTTAAAAGTTGAGTCCTCAGCTCTGGAATGGAGAGCTCCTGATCTGAGTCCTGGAGCCTGGGAGAGCTGCCAGGGGCTGAGGCTGAGGGTGGAGTCTGAATGGCCAGGCTCCCACCCCAAATGTGGCTGTGGGAAAACTGCAGCTGCCCAGATCAGACAGGCCCAGACCAGACAGGTGCCAAGTGTCTCAACAAACAGCATGGCTCAGGCTGGGCGTGGTGGCACACACCTGTAATCCCAGCACTCGTGAGGCTGAGGCAGAAGGATCTCTGTGAGTTCGAGACCAGCCTGGGCTACACAGTGAGTTTCAGGGCAGTCTCAACTACGTAGTGAGACCCTGTCTCAAAAAAACAAAACAAAACAGGACTGAGGATTTAGCTCAGTGGTTCCGCTGCCTGCCTTGGAAGTGCAAGGACCTGAGTTTGATCCCCAGTACCAAAAACAAAAAACAAAACAAAACAGCATGGCTCCATCCCTCTTCTCCAGCCCAGGAGGACACTCAGATTTTGTGCAGTGTCTCTATCCAGGTTCTTGCCTTTGGCCTGAGGCATCAGAATCCTCTCCTGGCCTTGCCATTCCCTCCATGGGTGACCTCTCTGAATTTCTGCTTTTGTCATGCACAAGACCTATGACTTCTGCTCTGGGGATTTGCAGAGGCTGGGAGGATACATTTCAGGTCAGAATTGGGGTTTTGGCAGGGTGGGCCTGGGTGTCTGGTAACTGGCTGCCCCACCTTCCCTGCATGAAAAGGGCCAGTACATCACAGAGCTACTATGATCTACCAGCTATGTGCCGAGCCCTAGCAGAACCACCTCTGCTAGAATAAGACCAAGGGGTTGGGGTGTCACTCAGTGGTAGATGAGACCCTGGATTCAATCCCCAGCATTCCCTCTAAGAAAGGAAATCAGACCTCAGACCAGCTGCTCTGGGAACCGGAGGATTCTGGGGGGAGGCAGAGGAGTCTGAGCCTGGGGCAAGGAAGTCCCTGATGATGGAGACAAGTTGCCCCTGAATGCTCAGTGCATGCGTGTGTGTGTGTGTGTGTGTGTGTGTGTGTGTGTGTGTGTGTGTGTGTGCAAGAGCTGGGGCCAGGTGTGCTCTGGGCCTCAGGTGTAGCTAGACATCTCCCTGACCATGTGGGTGCATCCTGTGCACCCAAGTGTCTGAGCCTGTGCTAAGTGCTCAACATATACCATCGTGTCTCATCCTCAGATCAACACTGTTGGGATGGGATTATTACCAGCATCTGTCAGGTGACAAGGAGGTCACATGGTAGGGCTGCAGCCGGTCCATGCTGGCGGAGGAGCATGGAGTATCCTGGGCAGGAGAAAGGGCAGAGACTCATCACATAACTGGGGACCGGGTGTGTTTGAGCTCAGTGGACGTCTAAAGAAAGGGAGGTGGAAATGATTTGCTGGGTGCTGGTGGGGAGAGCAGAAAGAGCTTGTCTGGTATTTCCTTGACAGTTTTTCTGGGGTACACTTTGAGTATGTATGGAGAACACAATTGGGGGCTCATAGGCTCATGGTCTCTCCATCCAGACCATACTGGCCTGAGCAGCCGAGGTTGACAGACAGGGAAGGGAGGAGAAAGCTTGATGTCTTGGAGGTGTATAAGGAAGCCAGAGTATCAGCCTAGAGCCAAAGTCCCCTGCCAGCTGCTCCCTTTGCCCACTGACACGGTGGGCTGGAGCTGCATGTGACTGTGCTGATGAAGCTGTGCATCTCACCAGGGGCCACGAGGACCTGAGGTCTAACCTGGCCATTGTATCATTTTTCTTGCCCAGGACACCCACTACCACCGCCCTGTGAGTCGGGGCCAGCAGCCCTGGCATGCAGCTCTGTCTAGTAGCCTGGCATCTGCTCCTGCTGCTCAGGAGGCCCCCCAGTCTGCCGGTGGCCCCAGACCTCCCCGCTGTGGTGTGCCTGACCCACCTGATGGGCTGAGTGCCCGCAACCGGCAGAAGCGCTTCGTGCTGTCTGGTGGGCGCTGGGAGAAGAGAGACCTCACCTACAGGTAGGGGCCAGAGGCCATGACAGCAGGACTGTGTGTCTATGTGAGAGCCTGCTGCACTCACCCCTGCCTCCTAAGACACACACCAAGGCTCAGTCTACATGACTAACAGATCCATTCGTGTGCTCACAGCCATTCATGGGCCAACAGCCTGACCTCCTGGCTTAGGCACACACGGAGACCCATAGGCTCCTGTAGCACAAGGCTGTAATCCTTTATCATCATCCAAAGAGTCACAGCATATACCTACAGTCAGGTGTTTCTTCACCCAGCAGGCTTTCCTGGGGACCTGTAAAGGCCAGGCCTGGGACTCCATGGTGAATGAGATAGAGGAACAGCCCAGTCCTCCCAGGGAGGGTGTTTGAATCTACCATCATCATTTAGGCCATGTGTAGGTGTAAACTATGGTGAACGGGGGTAGGGAGCAGCCTACTCTTCTCCAAGTGACCTGGAATGCTCCTGGGCAGGTGATGAGGAAGTTGAGACTTAGCCTGGGAGAGAACAGTCTAGAGTCACACAGCATTGGAACTGAGACTGTTGGTGCCTTGGGAACAGAGATGAGGCTTAAGGAACCAGAGTCTCCCCAACAGTGAACGGTGCTGTCAGGTCCCAGGACTCATGGTCGCGTGCTCTTTCCACCAAATGCAGACAACTGTGTACATCTAAATACAAGCCAACACAAAGGGTGCACCCACATGGTCAGGGAGACTGTCTAGCTACACCTGAGGCCCAGAGCACACCTGGCCCCAGCTCTTGCATACACACACACACACACACACACACACACACACACACACGCATGCACTGAGCATTCAGGGGCAACTTGTCTCCTTCATCATCAGGGACTTCCTTGCCCCAGGCTCAGACTCCTCTGCCTCCCCACAGAATCCTCCGGTTCCCATGGCAGCTGGTGCGGGAACAAGTGCGGAAGACTATGGCAGAGGCCCTACAGGTATGGAGCGAGGTGACACCACTCACCTTCACTGAGGTGCATGAGGGCCATGCTGACATCATGATCGACTTCACCAGGTGAACCTGCAGACTGGGACCCCTCCGGGAACAAACCCCACTGCCAGCAGCCACTGACTGTGCCCCCACCCACCCACAGGTACTGGCATGGGGACAACCTGCCTTTTGATGGGCCTGGGGGCGTCCTGGCCCACGCCTTCTTCCCCAAGACCCACCGAGAAGGGGACGTCCACTTCGACTATGACGAGAACTGGACTATTGGGGACAACCAGGGTATGGCCTGGCAACCCATTTCCAGACAGGGCAACTGGAGTTTATAGAGAATGGGCCTTTGCCATGGTCCCCGAGCTGGGGTCTGGAGCCTGGGTGACTTGTAGCAGGTGCGGTGTGTGTCAGGGGGGTTTGCTGATCCATCTCCCTTTTCCAGGCACAGACTTGCTACAGGTGGCAGCTCATGAATTTGGCCATGTACTGGGGCTACAACATACGACAGCAGCTAAGGCCCTTATGTCCCCTTTCTATACCTTCCGCTACCCCCTGAGCCTCAGCCCAGATGACCGCAGGGGTATCCAGCACCTATATGGCCGGCCGCGGCTGGCCCCCACCTCCCACACCCCAGCCCTGGGACCCCAAGATGGAATAGACACCAACGAGATTGCACCACTGGAGGTGAGATTTGGGAGGATGGAAAGTCAGGAGGTGAGGCCCTGTCCCCAGAGCCCCCTTCAATTCCTGCTGGCCTAGTGTGGCTCCAATGTGGGCTCTGTTCTGGCTCCTCTTTCCTACCCTAGCCGGAAACCCCACCAGATGCCTGTGAGGCCTCCTTTGATGCCGTCTCTACCATCCGAGGCGAGCTCTTCTTCTTCAAGGCAGGATTTGTGTGGAGGCTGCGTGGTGGCCGGCTACAGCCTGGGTACCCTGCACTGGCCTCTCGCCACTGGCAGGGACTTCCCAGTCCCATAGATGCAGCCTTTGAGGATGCCCAGGGCCACATTTGGTTCTTCCAAGGTAAGTGAGGTTTGAAAATCAGCTCGAGACTTCCTGGAGCCAGGAATGTCACAACCTAGGGTAGCAACAGATAGATAGCTCTCTAGGGACACAAGGCAAAGGGAGAAGTTGCCCTGAAGTCTCAGAACCAAGAGGGTATGGCTCTCTCCTTGGTCACAGCTGGGAGGCTCTCAAGGAGGTGGCTCCTGAGACCAAATGGCACCGAAGCTACTGCGTACTGGGGCACCATGCCTGTTGGTGTATTCTACCCTCAAAGCCACCCTTGGATGTGCAGCTTTAGAGGTTGTGAAGTGACTCACTCGAGGGTGCAGCTTGGAAAATGTACAGCAGGGATCTGATCCAGGTCTGGTGACCTAGAGCTTGTACGTTCCACTCTCAGCTGACAGATGAGAGCCGGGAGCATTCCAGGTGGCAGGACTTCATAAACAAAGGTGCAGCATGGGAGACCCTGTGTGGGCTCCATTGCAGCCAGGGACCTTCTACAGGAGGGGCTGGGCCACAGTGGTCAGCAGGCATTTCTGATAGGCAGCCAAATCCTGGGGAAAGAGAGGAAGCCCAAGCAGTCCTCTGTTGATTAGAAGAACTCATTCATGTGCAACTTTACAGCCTCCACTGCCCATTGTTTCCCAGATGGCTCCAACCTTCCTTTGCGGGGGAGGGTGCTGAACAGGCATTATTGGCCCATAGGTTTCATGGACAAAGAAACCGAGGCTGGGAGAGTCTGTGGTGGTGGCCCAGCAGGTCCACTGTTGTTGGGAGTGGCAGCAGTGGCTTGACAGAACCTTGCAGCCTTCACTCTCCGGCAGGTGCTCAGTACTGGGTGTACGACGGTGAGAAACCAGTCTTGGGCCCCGCACCCCTCTCTGAGCTGGGCCTTGTGGAATCCCCAGTCCACGCCGCCTTGGTCTGGGGTTCTGAGAAGAACAAGATCTACTTCTTCCGAGGCAGGGATTATTGGCGTTTCCACCCCAGCACCCGACGTGTGGATAGTCCGGTGCCCCGCCGGGCCACTGACTGGCGAGGGGTGCCCCCTGAGATTGATGCTGCCTTCCAGGACGCTGATGGTGCGTTGGAGGGGAGTGGGCTGCTGGGATGTGGGTGGCTGGGCCTTCACACCCACTTTGGGAGGCCCAACTCTTCATCACAGGTCCTTTGTCCAGTGCCATCTACCCTCTGACTAGCCAGCCGGTGCTGTACCCCACGTTGCAGATGAGGAGACTGGAGGGCTAGGGATTTAGCTCAGTGGTTCTGCCGCCTGCCTTGCAAGCATGAGGTCTCAAGTTCGATCCCCAAAGATGAGGAGATTGGGGGCCAGAGAGGTGCAAGGACTTGCCTAGATCCCCCAGCCATAGCCATTGAACTCAGGGTCTTTGCACTGAGCTGCATGCATCACCGGTCTTTTTAAAATTTTTATTTTGAGATAGGGTCTTGTTAAGTTGCCCAGGTCAGGCTCCAATTTGTCATATTCCCGCCTCAGCCTCCCAGAGTGCTGAGAAAGGCACCACCATGTAACACTTTTTATGAATCCAGTTTTCAAATGGGCAAATAGAGGCTCAGATCCCTAGCTGGGGCCACTGAGAGGGACGGTGATGCAGCCAGAACTCCCATCAGTCTCCTCTAACTTGGCCTCCCCCAGGCACAGGGCCCTGGAGCCAGGCTGGAACTCGGAACCTAGCAATCTCACCTGCCAGTCCACCTTTGCTTCTGTGCTTTCCCTCACTGGGACCCACTGAGAGAGCTGTCTCAGTGGGGCTCAGGCTCTGGAACTCCAGGATTCCACCTTGGTGGTCTGATTTGTAAATAAGGAAGCAGGGTGACAAAGGGGTTGGTGAGCGGAGTGGGTCCTGCTTTCTTGAGAGATGAGAACTGAACTGTGAAGCTCGCGGCATCTGTCAGGGTGGGTGTTACCCTGGACTGGACCCTGTTGCAGGCAGAAGGGCTGCCAGGAGGGAAAGAAGGTTCTAGAAAGGTAGCTCTGACGCTGTAGGATTCGTGAAACTTGGCAGTAGCCCAGGCCTTCTCACCCCTTTTCCCCCTATACCTATCCCTGGCCACAACCTGATAGGCAGTCACGGGGCCCCACACCACTTGCCCAGGCCTCACCATCTTCTCCTTTCAGGCTATGCCTACTTCTTGCGCGGCCGCCTCTACTGGAAGTTTGACCCTGTGAAGGTGAAAGCTCTTGAGGGCTTCCCCCGTCTTGTGGGCCCTGACTTCTTTGGCTGTGCTGAACCTGCCAACACTTTCCGCTGACCACAGCTTGGATGCCTTCAGGGACTCTGACTCCTGCCAAGCCACTTATATCAGGATAGAGAACCACAGCCATCTTTGTGGCTCTGGGATCAGGCATGGGACAGAGCCTTTGTCTCCTCAGGGGGTGTGGTGGGGTACAATTATCATGACAACTGCAGGGAGGACCACGCGGGTCGTGGTCACCTGCCAGCAAGTATCTCAGATTGGGCAGGGAGCCTTTGGCCTTAATTAAAGGAGGGTGGTCTTGGGCCAGCTACACCCACCTATGTAGGTCATGGCCAAACTTGGGTCTCCATTCCTGTGCCTCAGGGTAGAACCTCGGCAGAGATGAGAAACTGCAGTGTTCTCATTAAATTCCTGCTGTGAGGTTCCTGTTGGGTACTGGTGCTGGAGCTGGAATGCCAGGGTCCCCACGACCTTCTGCTCTGGCCAAGAAACTGGGCCTCCAGGTAGGGTCCTTTCCTGAGAAGTCAGTTCTGGGTAGATGCTTGGCTCTGGCCACCTTCTGCCTGGTGACCCTAGCGATCTCTCCAGTATTCAGGCCCAAAAGTCCACAGCCAGCT